AACGGAAAAGGAGCGAGCCTGCGGCGCGCGCGCGTGCGTCGGCTGGCGGGCCGGCCTCCTCCCTGCAGCGCTACCTTCGCGTTTGTTTGACGGCGCTATCCTTTCTTGCCCATGTCATATGCGGAGCCCACTGATCATGATGTATCACCGGAACATTTCGCAGGGAATATGAATATCCAGGCAAAAGACTCATTCCTCCCTTTGTCCTTTTGTTCCTCCTCCTCCCCCTCCTCATCCTCCCCTTCCCCCTCCTCCGTATCGAGCGTCAGTCTTCGCTCCTCGGCCTCAGTGTCCCGCCCTCGTTCTCGCCCTCGCGTCCCCCCTCGCCCCAGGCCCTTTCGCTCCCGCCGTCGCTCCCGCCGTCGCCCCCGCCGTCGCTCCTGCCCGGCGTTGCGGGGTAGTCGTGGCGGCCCGCGCTCTTCCCTCCCAGGGCCCCGGCGTCGGGCCGCGGGGCTGTCTGATTGCGGCTCGGGGTTTGCAGGGCCGCAGTCTCAGTTCAAGGGAGGAAGAATTGCCCCGACCTCCATGATTGGCGTTTGCTCATCGGCCCTGGGCGTTCACGAAACAGCCCTGCCCTGTTCGACTCCACCTTTGGATGCGTTTGCGAAACACTTTTCTCGTCGGGGTGCTCAGTGTTCTCTAACAGTGGCCCGCGTTACGAACATATCCAGCAAACAACTTCCCGTTCGATTCAAATTGGCTTGCCCAGAGCGTGCGCCCGCTTCGATCCGGCGACGCGGCGCGATGCGGCGCGATCGTTCGACCCCATCCACTCGGAATCCATCCAGGAGGCCTCTATGGAGGCCGATGGAGGCTGAGAGATCCGGGCCCCGACTTTTTGGCACGCCGCAGCGCGCGGCAGAGGCAGTCCGCGCGCACGTCTGGGCACGAGACCGGGGCACGGAGTCGCGCATGAACCCGCACGCAAGAGCAGAGGAAGGGGGGGAAAGGGGGCGACCGCGGAGGAGGGGGCCGAGGCGCGGGGCATCCTGCGGGCTGGGATCCGCCCCAAGATTTATAGTGTTCCAACCTACTTTTTAGCCTTGATCACCAAATAATTTCGACCACCAAGAAAGTACCCCACAAACTCGAGGGTCTTCGCGGGTCGGGCCCTGGGAGACACTGTTGCGACACTGTTTCGACACTTGTCCGGGTGCTCGAAATTATTTGGGGGATGTGGTCTTTAAGTACGATGGGAGCAGCATGACTCAAGACGGCCTTCTGGGGGGGGGCGGTCATCTTGGCTTAAGGTGAGCGTTTCGATTGCATCGGAACCATACATCAACTGAACACTTCCTTTTCACATCCAGTGCTACAGCTCCAGGCCCTCGTCGGTCGGGACAACGATGGCTCGCAAACTGTTTTTCACGACGGCATCTGCGCTCGCTTCCATGGTTGGCGCTGACTCTCAGCTCGTGCAGGTGTTCACACACGGGCTGGGCGTGTCAGATCCGGCAGATCCCGCCGCGGACCCGACGCCGGCTCCGACGTGCGCTGACTCGACATATACAATAACATATGTCATGTCAGGCTCGACTCACAAACCAACAACATTCACGTATACGGGACCGAGTGGGCTTTCATTTGACAATTTCGCTACGTGCGCCAACACAAGTTCCGCATCTTGTACGATGGCAGCGTCCACGGCAAATTTTTGCCAGTCCAAACAGAGAGTCGACGTTCGGGTCCTCAGGCGAACGGATACCAACGAGATAATCAGAGCGGGCACATGTTGCAGTACCAAACGAAATTGGGTGACTGCAATGTCGTCACAGTGCGCTGTTGCAACGCCCACCCCGACCAACACTTGCCTGACGCCCTCCCCCACGCCTATCCCGGCCCCGACGCCCAGCCCAACGCCGTCGCCGACTGAGGCCCCGACGAGCAGCCCGACCTCGTCCCCGACGCCGAGTCCGACGAGCATTCCGACGAGCAGCCCGACCTCCAGTCCGACCTCGTCCCCGACGCCCAGCCCGACGCCGTCGCCGACTGAGGCCCCGACGAGCAGCCCGACCTCGTCCCCGACGCCAAGTCCGACGAGCAGCCCGACCTCCAGTCCGACCGCGTCCCCGACGTCCATTCCGACGAGCAGCCCGACCTCCAGTCCGACCTCGTCCCCAACGCCCAGCCCGACGCCGTCGCCGACTGAGGCCCCGACCTCCAGCCCGACCTCGTCTCCGACGCCCAGTCCGACGAGCAACCCGACAAGCAGCCCGACCTCCAGTCCGACCGCGTCCCCGACGTCCAGTCCGTCGAGCAGCCCGACAGCCAGCCCGACACCCAGCCCAACGTCTACACCAATGGCACCGCCCATCAGTGGCCCCATGGTCGCGGGCGTCGGCGACCCGCATCTCGCCAACACGCTCGGCCAGAAGTTTGACTTGCTTCAGGCTGGGTACCATACTTTGGTCCACATCCCTAGGTGGGCGCGGCAGCGTTCCAACTTCCTCGTGGAGGCGAGAGCGAGTCGCGCTGGGCTTGGATGCGCTGATTTGTATTTTACGGAGATCAACATCAGCGGCACGTGGGCTCGTCGTCACAAGGCAACGGGCCTGCGTTGGGACGCCGAGGCTACGAGGCCGGGCAAATCAACATGGATGACATTCCACAACGTGGTCAAGGTCAAGATCGTGCATGGCCGCACCGCCCAGAACACGAAGTACCTCAATATTTTCCTGAAGGGGCTGCATAAGACGAAGGTCCCAGTCGGTGGCCTCCTCGGGGAGGACGACCACACGGCGGCCGCCACCCCAGACAAGGGTTGCAAACGCATCATGACGTTGTGAGTCTTATCCCGCCCCAGGGCCGACGCCAGTAGACGCTGTGAGTAGTCTGCCGCCCCGGGGCAGACGCCAGTAGTAAAAGACATGGCTGGTGCTCAATGAATGCAAGCGGTTGTCATCTGGCCTTTGGCCAGTTGGGCGGCACAGTCCCTCTACGCATGTCTCCCCTCTTCCATGTTCCATTTGTCATGCGTTCTGCATCGTCTGCGGCGGATCCCCAGCCCATCCCAGAGTCGTCCACTCGCTGCGGACCCTCTCCGATGTCGCTGATGCGGTGACGTGGCCGCGCCTGGAGAGCGCATGCTGCTCCTTTTCCTCCTGTCTGTCAAAACCTGTGTCCTCGACCTCTGCCTCTTCCGCTTGCATCTTGTGTCTTTTGATCCGTGGGCCACCCCGCTCCGGAGGCGCGCGGGGAGCTCCGCCCGTGCCACTCCGTGCATCGATGTCCGCGCGTGGCTCCCTCCTCCTGGTGTTCCTCTGCCCTGCGCTTCTGGGCTGTGTCCAGATTTCGGACGAAGAGAACTATGCACATGCACCGATCTTGGCCTGGCCCATCCTGGGCCCAGGATCGGTGCATGTGCCCTCCTGGCCAAGGCAGGATGGCGTATGCACCGATCCTGGGCTCATGGTGGGCCTGGCCAGAATCGGTGTATGTGCATAGTTCTCTTTTCTCTAAGATTGTGGGGTGGGCTTTCAGGGTCTCCCTCGCGGCCACGGCTGGGCGCGGCTCGGAGGCCCGTCAGGGCGGCGGTCCGGGAGGAAGGCAGGGCAAGGCCAGAGACTGTGTGCACAAAAACGGCACATTAGTGTTGGAAGAGTTGGCCGCCACTGTGGCAGTACTCCTTCACAACGGCTTCCCACTCACTCTGCGGCCTGTGGCTCAACAATGAATTCTTGACGCTTCGCGTATCCCCACCAGCCCATCCAGTAACGATGCCCAGGCGAATGGAGGTGATCAGGGAAGTGAGGGAGCATACAGAGTAACCAAGGGCTGGGGAACCCGTCTTACCCAAGACGGCGAGGATGGAGGAGGAATCGGAGGAGGATGAGGAGGAGGAGGAACTGAAGGAGGAGGAGGGGGAGCGGGATGAGGGAGTTGGGAGGAGGAGCAATAGGCGGATGAGGAGGAGGAGGAGGAGGAGGAGGAGCAGGACGAGAATGAGGGGGAGGATGAGGAGAAGGGCGAGCAGAATGGCCAGAGGCCTCTTGGATGCCTCTCGGAGTCTCTTCGGATGTCTGTTGTGAGCGTCCTGAAGGCCTCTTAGGGCGTCTTGGGAGCGTCTTGGCGGTCCCGGAGGCCTCTTGGGGCGTCTTGGGTGCCTCGGGGAGCCTCTTGGGGACCTCTTGGGGCCATCTTGGGGTCATCTTGGGGCCATCTTGGCGCCTCTTGGGGCCTCCTGGGCGCCTCTTGGGGCCATCTTGGAGGCGATCGATCAAAGAAGAGGGTGGGGTTAATTAGCCCCGCCCCTCTAGATCCTCTAAAATCGCCTCTTGGGCTCATCTTGAGGCGCTCTTGGAGCGCTCTTGGGCGCTCTTGGGGCCGTCTTGAGGCTCTCTTAGGCCCCTCTTGGGGCTATCTTGGGCCCTCTTAGAGCCATCTTGAGGCCTCGGAAGGCCATCGGAAGCGAAAAGGCGAGAAAGCAAACTTCATTTGTTTTCCTTATTGTTTAAAGGATTTTGGCCTCTTGGGGGGTCTCCTTGGAAGTCTCGGAGGCCTCTTGGAGTCGTCTTGGGGCGATCTTGGGGCCTCTTGGAGCATCTGGGGAGCCATCTTGAGGCATCTTGGGCTATCTCGAGGCATCTTGGAGGTCATCTTGGCCTCTCCGAGGCCCTCTTGGAGCCGTCTTGGGCCATCTTGGACGCTCCAACGCGTCGCGGAACCCCCCGTCCAGGTCCAGGGGAGGGGGTTAGGGGGAGGGGTAAACCCCTCCCCGAAGGGGAAGGAGGGAAGATGGAAGAGGAAACTCCCTAAACCACCGACGCCCAGAGGGCTGGTGGGATTCAACCTCTCTGCGCCACCAGCAGCTGCCAGTGCGTGCTTGAAAACGCCCTTCGCCCAACTCGTCTTAGGTCTGCCGCGGCGTCTTCGGCCCACCGGCTCTCTTGGCTGGAATGACAAACTCTCGGGGTCGAAAACGCTTTGCCTCACAATGTCGGTCGTGCTTCGCCGAGCCAGTGTCCCCATCCTTTTGAGCTGTCTCTCCAACAACATGCTGCTCATAGGTTGAACACCGGCTTGCTGTAGAACCGAGGCGCTGGTGACACGGCTGTAATAAGAGAACGGTATCTTCATGATTCTTCTAAGGCACCTGTTCTGAAACCCGTCGATCTTCCGGATTTCCGCCTTGGACAGCCACAGCGAATGCAGGCTGTACAAGACTTTACTGACAACGCAGGCGTTGAATATCTCCAATTTTCTAGCGCGAGATATTCCGGAGTGGGACCAGACGCGGCGTAGTGTTTCGAATTCTTCTCGTGCGGCTCCAATTCGGCGATTGAGCTCCGAGCCAGACGTCCCGTCCGACGTGATCGCGCAGCCCAGGTAAACAATTTTGCTTTTGGACTTGATTTCGTCGCCGGTCGGCACAGTGATGCTAGCGACGTCTGTTGAGGAGACGAGCTCCAGCTTCTTCCAATTGAAACTTAAACCGTAGACGCTGCCCGCTCGTCGCACGCAGTGGATGTACTTCTCTACGTTGCCAGTGTCGACGTCGATCAGAAGAGTGTCATCTGCATATAGGATATCATTGGCATGCGTCTTTGTAGAAAGCTGCGTTCCGGATGTTTTTAGGAGCTCCTTGGCGTCGGTAATGAGGACCGTCATGACCATGCTGAAAAGGTACGGGGACAACGGGCAATTGCTGCTGGCCTGATTGCTTGCCAGCGTCAGAGGCAGAGAGGCAACGATTCGCGTAGATCGCCTCGATGCACCGCAGGAACTTGGCTGGCAAACCGAATCCCCCCAACGATTGACATAATGCTTCTGGCGCGATCGAGTCAAAGGCCGTGGCCCAATCCAGGGCTAGAAGCACCAACCGCTTATCCTGCATTGCGCTTGCCTCCTCAACGATCCTGCGGATGAGGAAGACTGCGTCGAGGATGCCACGGCCAGGGCGAAATCCACACAGAGTGTCCCAAATGCGCTCGTCAGCACCAGCTTAAAGCAACCGCTGCAATAAAATTGATGCAAAAAGCTTGTATCCGACCTGCAGAAGTGAAACAGGCCTGCAATTCCCGCAATCGGCAACATCGCCCTCCTTGAGAATCATGGCGACGCGCGCCTCGTGCCATTTCTCTGGTACTGCTCCGTGTGACCAACATATCCGGCAGAGTTCCAGAGCCCACCGGCATGCTTTAGTTCCCCTTTTGCAAACTTGCTTCCAGAATTCCGCTGGGGGCAGGTCGTCGCTCCCGGCTGCCCTGCGGATCTCGAGTCTTGCCGCCGTTTTCACGACCTCACTCTCGGATATGTCGCGCAGATCGACGTCGAGCTCCGGGCCCAGGCAGGTGTCGGCAAGAACCGGCTCCAGAGGCCGCACTGCCCATTGGACTTTCTCCACGTACTCGGCCAGCGTCTCTGCCTGGTCTTCTGAGCTGACAAAGCGACCCAGCATGTTCTTTAGCCGCCCTTGTCGGTGATGTACGCCTTTATGTAAATCTTTGACTTGGTCCCACGGCCCTTTTTCCAGCAGAGATGTGAGCCATTGGTCCCTATCTTTCTTGATGGACCGTTTTACCTCAGTGTTCAAAGCTCGCTCACGAAGCAAATTGCCATTGCGCCTCGCCCCTGACCTGCTGTCAATTAGCCCCAGCGTGCGTCCGCTGATCCACGCTTGGTGAGGGATGGCCTGCACAGCCAGCAACGTCTCCTCTGCAGCGTGGAGCATACATGTCGTAATGCGCGAACTGAGCCAGTTTCGATCCTGAGCGTCTGCGTCTCGATCCTCCTCGTCCTTCTCCTCTGCCTCCATCAAGTGCTCAAAGCGCGAACGGAAAGCGGATTCAACCTCCTTGTCGTTTAAGTTGTTCTTGTCGGGCCTAGGGCCTCGAGTCTGCGGTGTTCTCTTCGCTAATGTGATGTCCATCTCTGAAGTTACGAGGAAATGGTGCGAAGGAAGTGCCAAGCCCTTATGAGAGCTCACCGCGCGCACCAAGTGAAGGCTGCTCTGCGGAACAAGTACAAAGTCCAGCTGCCCAAAATGCTTGAAGTCCAGAGTATCATGTAGGCGCGACCCCACGTTATAATTAGCACGTGATTTGGTTCTCTGGCGCCGATGCGAAAAACGTGTTGCCCACGGCCAGCGTCGACGTAGCGCAAAGCTCCATCAAAAGACTTCGATTCGAATCGGTGCTGTGCACTGCCATCGGGTTCCCAAAAATATGCTCTCCTAGAATGCCATCTTCGCCAGGCTGTCGCAGGTGAAGTCTAGCATTGAAATCTCCACATGCCACCTTGGGGCCATTCCCACTAGCAGAGGAAAGGAAGCTGGACAGCTCGGAGTAGAAATTGAATCGCTCTTCGTACGGTTTGCCGTTGTGCGGCGCATAGATGGAGAAGACTGGAACGTTGTCGCCAGGCACCCTCAACTTCAGCGACGCCATCCTCGGGCTTTTTTTGACAGAACCCAACGACGCTGTGGCGCAAGTGCGGGGCAACCAGAAAGCCAACCCCCGCTATTTCAACAGTCTCTGTCTCAGAGGAGCCTGAAAGAACCACCAACCATCCACCGTCTGTAACGAATACGTCTGACTTCGTCTTGTGAGTCTCCTGAATGCATAACAAATCAACCCCCGTATTTGCCATAAACTGCTGTAGCGTGATCAGCTTCTCCTATGTGAGCCCCTCCATGTTCCAAAGTGCGGCGACAAGTCGATCGGAAGTTGGCCGTAACGCACCGCCTCTGAAAAATACAGCCTCATAGCGCTGGCTGTCATTCACTATACGTTGGTTCCTGGATAGCCGACCTCGGGGTGAAACATCATAATTTCCCATACTGATGTGCCCAAGGCCCTAGCGGGCCTTACCTTCAGCATCGTTGGCCGTGTTCGCTGGGCTGCTTTTCATGCCGCTCTTCATGCCCTTGGAGGCCTTCTGGACAAGGTCATTGAACTTCTCCTTTGACCCTGGAGCTCTCGTGAAGCTCCTCCCAGTCGGCCCACTCCCCGCGCCACTCCTGCACCACCTTGTCTGGGAAGATGTACGCCGTAGGCGATGCTTAAGAAAACTTAAGTTTTCGGCCAGAGTCCCGATTATTCTTAATGCTTCAATGTAAGTCCTAAGGTTTCAATAGAAATTCTGGGTCTTTATTCAAATTCTGAGACTCTGAGTTTCTTAACCCATGATTTCTTAAGCATTTCGCAGGGTGCACGCCGTCACTGCCTTCTCCCCCCCGACCTCTACAGTGCAGGGGGCCTCGCCGCTCACCGAAACCTTGCAGGGGATGTCCTACACCTTAGGCGATGCTTAAGAAAACTTGAATTTTCGGCCAGAGTCTCGATTATTCTTCATGTTTCAATGTAAATCCTAAGATCTGAATGGAAATTTTGGGTTTTTATTCAAGTTCTGAGACTATGAATTTCTGAACCCATGATTTCTAAAGCATTTCGCAGGGTGTACTCCTTTTGCAGCACGTGTGTAAGTCCCAAGCAAAAATTCCTGGCGGCCCTCTCCAAGAGGGGGCGGTCCTGGTTGGCCCAAATGTTCTTCCCCCCGACGTCAGCCCAGCCTTTTTCAAAACATCCGCTGCTGTATCCCGCTGGCCCGAGTCCCGGAATTCTGCGAACATCACTCCGCCGAAAGTCCACCTTCGAGTGAATCTTGGACGGGCTTGGGCCTGTCAGCGATGAGAGTTTATCCTGAAGCCACGTGCTGGCAGCGTCGAGGGAGTCGAGCGAGTCGAGGTGTCCCACTACTGCTGTAATACTGCGTTTATCTCCCGACCCCTCACCCGTCATGCTGTTCCCAACCGAGGCCGTCTGGGGGGGCGCGTGGAAGGTGCCAGCCTTGTCGGAAATCCTGTTTGACGAGGTTCTCCAACTTTTCGATTCGGACCTCGGCTGCGTCAAGGCGCTTCTCGACAGAATTGAGGCGGAGCTCCACCGCGTCCGTGAGGCTGTTAACCCTCCGGGAGAAGAGGTGAGAAAGGAGAATCTGTAACCGAGCACTTGATGCGCGGTTTCTTCAGGAACGGCTTATTCAACAACTTGCCCACAGGTGTGCCTGGTGCTCGAGACGACGACGCTGCGAGTGCATCCGACGCCGATCCAACCTCCTGCTGCGGAGAAGAAATGACATGTGTCTCCGGCATGGCGGCGTCGCGAAGGTAGGGGTATGGGAAAGGATAGGTAGAAATGGACAGGCAGGACTTGAGAATTTGAGCCACTTGAGCCAAAATGGCTTGAGCCGGGATGCGAAAAGGCCCAAGATGACCACAGGGAGAAATGGGAGAGCTTGCGACGGCCTTGGGCGGGGGGCGGTCGTCCCTTGGCACGCGCCGACGGGGTCTACGGCGGGCTCCTCCCTCGTGGCCGCGGCCGGGCGCGGCCTGGGCAGCTGGTCGGGGCGGCGGTCCTCGAACGGGGGTCCGGAGACCGATCTCGAGCGGCAGGTTGCCTTCCTGGCCCAGCGCACGCGGGGTAGCCGTGGCGGCCCGCACTCTTTTCCCTCCCAGGGCCCCGGCGTCGGGCCGCGGGGCCGTCAGACATGCGGCTCGGGGCCTGCAGGGCCGCAGTTCAAGGGAGGAAGAACTGCCCCGACCTCCACAGTTGGCGTTTGCCGAACGGCCCTGGGCGTTTACGAAACAGCCCCGCCCTGTTCGATTCGTTGGCTTACGCCGCACCGCCGACCGATTGGGGCGGTGCGGGGTGCGTCGTTTGGGGCCTCTTGGTCCGAGTCGGGGTGCTCTCGGGTGCCTCTTGGACCGTCGTCGACGCTGACCATGGCAGTCGAGTCGCACATACTACGAAAATCGAAGGGTCTTTCAGGGAAATCAATTATTTTGGCCTCTGGGGGCCTTCCTGGGAGGCCTCATCCACGCCGTTTCGGCTGTAGTGTGGCCCTCTTGGGGGCCGCTTGGGGGCCCCCTGGGGGCTGCTCGGGGCCGGATGCTCGAAATGGCCATTGCGGTTCTCCCTCTGGGCCTCCTCCTGGGGCCGTCCTGGGGCTCTCTGGGCCGTCTTTGGAGGCTTCTGGGGCCGTCTTGGGGCCCTCTTGGGCGGTCTTGGAGCCCTGTTGGGAGCCTCTTGGGCTGTCTTGGGTCGATCTTGAAGGCTTCTTGGGCCGTGGGTAACCTCGTCGAAGCCCAACAGGCGAACGTGCTAAAAGTGCATGTTTTCTTTAGGGCATGGCGCGATTTTTGCTCTTTGAAAGTTTGTTGGAGCGCCTCGTGGCGGCTCCTTGGAGCGTCCTGGGAGCCTCCGGGACCGTCTGAGCGCATTTTTGCATTGCAGGCCAGGGCCGGCGCCGCTATCTTGGGGAATTTCTGGAATTTTGTATTTTTTTTGGAATGTCTGGAATTTCTGGGTTCTTTCTTTGAAGTGTGCGTTGAGAATGCTGCTTAGGAGTGTTACAGTTTTACACATTCCACGAAACTCCTAGAAATTCCAGAATTTCCAGACATTCCAGACATTCCAGAATTTCAAGAAATTTTAAAATTCCAGACATTCCAGAAATTCCAGAAATTCCAGAAATGCCAGAAATCCCAGACATTCCAAACATTCCAGACATGCCAGAAATTCCAGAGGTTCCAGAAATTCCAGAATATCCAGAAATTTTCCGACATTCCAGAAATTCCCAAAATCCAACAAATATTTAGAAAATTGCTGGAATAGAGAAAGTGCGTGGTGAGTGGCGCATTATGAGTAGTGCGTTGTGAGTATATCTGAGTAGTGCGTTCTGAGTACATCCAGAAAATCCCGACATTCCGAACATCGAAAATCCCCGGAGTTTCACAAATCCAATAGGTCCTCAGAAAAGCAGGGCCGTGAGTAGAGAGTAGGGGATACGGAGTGAGTCGTTGTCCGCGAGTAGAGAGTAGGGGATAGGGAGTGGGGGGGAGGGAGTAGTGATTCGTGAGTCGCGGGTCGTGAGTAGTGAGTTTGTAGTTCTCAGTAGGAAGTGGCGAGTAGCGAGAAGGGAGTAGCGAGCAGCGAGTTGCGAGTAGCGAGTTGCGAGTAGGGAGAAGGGAGTAGCGAGTTGCGAGTATCGAGTTGCGAGCAGGGAGAAGGGAGTAGGGAGCCAGGAGTAGCAGCGAGTAGCGAGCAGCGAGTAATGCCTGGCTCTAAGGAATTCCTCAGAATAGCGGCGCCGCCCTGGCCTTGTCACTAGGGTGTAGTGAGTGCTGAGTAATGAATACTGAGTAGTGAGTCGTGAGTGGTGCGCATAGTGTGGTGCGTAGAGGGTGGTGGGGTAGGAATCGGGTTCCGGAGCCAGGGGGCCCCCTTTTAAAAGGGAGGGGGAGGGCCTAAGATGCCCCCCGAGACGGGCCCACGAGGATTCCAAGACTGCCCCACACGCTTCCCAAACGCCCAAGATGGTCCCCAGACGGCCAGAAGTCGATTCGGAGGAGGAGGAGGAGAAGGAGGATGAGGAGGAGGAAGAGGAGGAGGAGGAGGAGGAGGAGGAGGAGGAGGAGGAGGAGGAGGAGGAGGAGGAGGAGGAGGAGGAAGGAGGAAGGAGGAGGGTGATGAGGATGAGGATGAGGAGTCGGGGGATGAGGAGTCAAAGGATTTGGAGAAGGAGGAGGAGGAGGAGGGAGGAGGAGGAGGAGGAGGAGGAGGAGGAGGAGGAGAAGGCGGAGGAGGAGGAGGACAAGGAGGAAAAGGAGGATGATGGTCCTCGTCGTCGCCGTCAGTCGTCGTCGCCGTCGCCGTCGCCGCCGCCGCCACTCCCTCTCTCGCGCGCGCCGCTCCCGAGGGAAGTGTGTGAGGAGGAAAAGGACGACGACGACGACGACCGCGACGACGACGACGACGACGACCGACGACGACGACGACCACGACGACGAGGACGCAAAAGAGGACGAGGATGAGGAGGATGAGGATGAGGAGGATGAAGATGAGGAGGAGGACGGTCGCCGTCGTCGTCGTCGTCGCCGTCGTCGTCGTCGTCGTCGTCGTCGCCGTCGCCGTCGCCGTCGCCGTCGCCGTCGCCGTCGTCGCCGTCGCCGTCGTCGTCGTCGTCGTCGTCGTCGTCGCCGTCCGTCGTCGTCGTCGTCGTCGTCGTCGTCGTCGTCGTCGTCGCCCCGCCCCGTCCGCCCCGCGCGCGCGGGCGCGTGCTTGCGCGGCCGGGCCGGTGCAGGATGATGATGGTGATGAGGAGGAGGAGGAGGAGGAGAAGGACGAGGAAGAATGAGAAAGACGACGGTGCTTATGATGATGATGATGATGATGATGATGATGGTGATGATGATGACGATAATGATGATGATGCTGATGATGATGGCGATGACGATGATGATGATGATGATGATGATGATGATGATGATCATTATCATCATCATCACCATCATCATCATCGTCATCATAAGCATCCTCGTCTCTATAATCCTTCCTCGTCCTTCTCCTCCTTCTACTCCTCCTCCTCCTCATCACCATCATCATCC